TCTTCCGATCTAGAAAATTGTGAAAATCTTAAAAGATTTTTTTTTACAATTTCTTAAAATGTTATAAAATGTTACATTTTAATTTATTTAATATTATCATATTTAATAAGATACACCTGTTAACAAAATATCAGGTTTTAATATTCATTACAGCTTTAATAATTTCTATTTTTTTAATTTTGTGGAAATGAAATATTAGACTCCGAGGTAATAAATCTAGACATTTATTTAACATTTTGATTCAAATTTTGTATGCTTATCGAATTCAACTTCATTATAATCTGTTTGGGAAATGTAATAATAGACAAAGATCTTTAATTTGTTGTATACTTTAGTAATATGACTATTCTAATATAATACATTTTTTTAAATATTACATGTTAATATAATAATAATAGATGAACTTTAACCACAGATTTTTGTAGAATGACTATGTCTTTAACTGTGACTTTAACTATAATAGCAATTTCAACTTATTTCACACATATCAATTTCAGTCAGGAACAACTTTGTTAGAAATTACTATATTAAAATGCAATATATTTAAAAAATATAAAAAAGGTACACATTATATATAGGGATATATAGGGAAAATAACAAAAAGTAATATGTTCACCCAAAAAGATTTCTGTTAAGGCATAGCTGATATAAACAAAAATTGACAAAAATAATTTGATTGTATCGTATATTAAAAACTAATTTGTTTAGATATTTATTTTATTGAATATACGAAAAAAAAATTATAATATAGTTCTATATTTGTTGAAACTTTCAGAAAAGAAATTTTTTTCAATATCCAATATTCTTAAGAAATTACATAGTTTTAGTTTTTTTTTAGTTTTGTTATCTTTGACATATGTACATACATACGAGTATATTACTCGTATATTAAATATGAGCAGGATCCGATTGCCCAAGTCACTAATTGATTATTAAATATAAAATTTATTGATTGGTCTAGTAAAGAAATTTAAGCACCAGTCATTGTGAATGGCTGTGATCAATTAGAATATGGTTAAATTGGATGCTATTATTAAATATTATATTTCAAAATTTCAACAAATACATATTTTAAAAATACAGTTCAAACTTTAAACAAATATTTTTAAAATATTTGACATGAAATTTTACATGTTATGTAAATTGTTATTGTTTACTTCTTTTATGCAAATATAGGCATTAGTATATGTATATATGCTTGTATTTCATTATATAAAATTGATTACACATGTACGCTATAATAATTTTGTTTGTAAAAATAATAGGCAAAAAAACAAAACCAGACAAAACCAATATGGATGGAAAGGGTGCAAGTTGCTCAAAAGAAAAGCAAGAAACTAATTCGGATCTGGAAGAAGATACAGATATTGATGAAAATGAACAGAATAAGAAATCAAATGTTTTAGACATAAATGATACAAACAAGGATAAAGGAAAAGAAGATTAAAAGTAAAATATTTTTTTTAAACAAATAAAACATTTTCTATGGAAATTTTATTTTGTGCTATAGATCGGAAGAGCACACGTCTGAACTCCAGTCACTTAGGCATCTCGTATGCCG